CTCACTCACTCACTCACTCACTCACTCACTCACTCACTCACTCACTCACTCACTCACTCACTCACTCACTCACTCACTCACTCACTCACTCACTCACTCACTCACTCACTCACTCACTCACTCACTCACTCACTCACTCACTCACTCACTCACTCACTCACTCACTCACTCACTCACTCACTCACTCACTCACTCACTCACTCACTCACTCACTCACTCACTCACACACACTCACACACGCACGCTGTGATGGTGTCAGGTGTCAGTCACACATGCCTCATTCTCATTTCCTCTCTGAACGTCTAATTTCTTAAACTTTTGAAAGGACTGAACTTTAGTTGGTTATCATATCTAGTGTCACATTCCTGTAGCGCAGACATTAGAGCAACACCAAGGTCATAGGTTCGATTCCCAGGGAATGCATGAACTAATTTGACAGAATTTGGATGAATACATCAAAAGTAAGGATGTGCACTTAAGAAAATTGCACTTAAGCGAGTTCTGTGAATATTAAAGCACATAAAGACTGTCTGTGTGTCTCTGTGTAATGAGTGGTGTGTTTTTATTTAGTTGTTTACCAAAAAAATAAAAGGAATTGTTAAAACTTAATTCTTTACATTTTAAAAGATTAATTCAATTCTTAACGTTATATGCCTCAATTTGATTACCACCATTTTTGATGGTATTTGTATTAAATCATAAATCCAGAAAAATATAGACAACACAGAATGAATGAATGAATAAGTAAATAAACTAATAAATACATACATAGGGTCCTAATATTGTTTAAACAAATTAAATGATTACATTTTGAAACATTGTACACCACTAAAACTGATTACAGTAACATTTGGGAAAAATAAAGAGAATTTCTTAGGGCCCTAAAATTTAACTTTTGATAAACTTTTAATAAGTTGTTGTTGAATTGTATACATTTCATGATTTCAATTAATTATTAGACAAGATTGCTAAAATTCAAATTAACTAATAAAACAGAATCCAGAAAAATGGAAAACATGGAAAATTTAAATGAGAAAAAATAAAACAGGAATTGTAAAAAAAAATAAAATGGATTTCATATGTCAAACTTTTAATAAACTGCCGTTAAATTGTGTACATGTCATGTTTTCAATTAATTCGACAATGCTAAAATTGAACCATTAAAACGGTATCCAGAAAAGAAAGCATATTTCGTAAGGCCGTATAAATCTGATTCGTCATTAGGGTGTGAAGTGTGTTTGCAGAGACTGCTCTGGCTAATTGGTCTTGAATGAATAATAAATACCAAACAGCCGTCATATGTGAACTCTTTTGAGCTCGTTAGGGTTCGTTATGGATGACAGGCCAGCTCAGTGGAAATCAGATATTGGATTTCTTCTCCCTTTATTCATGCATGTCTATGATTCCCTTCTTGAGTTCAACATCAGAATCGTCCTTGTGTAGCAGATACTGTCATGTATGGCTCATTAAGACATGAGCAGCGGTAATTAATACTTACATAGTATCATTTTCTCATCAAGTATCTGCTTGTAAGAGTCTGATTGATCATCACTGATTTATCCTTGACACAGGCACCACTGGCTTCTTGATTAAAATGAAATGCATTTTATGAATTGTGTGGAGTGCGTTGGAAGTGATCGGGGAACATTTTTATGATTCAGCAAGAGTTCGACTAGCATCCGAACAGGATTGTTACTGAGCAGACTTTCTAAATCTGCTCTGTTTTCAGATCGCAGCGTCGTACGGAAAAATTATTTGTGTGTTTGAGCCGGTGGAGGTCAGTCCACAAGGGAAAGCACAAAAAGTGAGTTTCTTCTGGAATAAATACACTCTTTTAAAGCGGTCATGAACATAAGGTTCGAATGCATGAACTGATAACATGTTGAATGCATTGCATAGTAGTGTCTCCCAAATGCATGCATGTGAATGGTTTGCTATAAGTGTTTGTGCTCAGCAGAAGCTGAATTATCATTGGCAGAAGAGCGGGCAGTTTGTTCTGCAGTCGGTCGCACAGATCCTGACGTGGCACCCCACAGGTACGTGAGATCAGCGTATGCTCATCTTGTCTGCGACGGGCCGCTCACTTCTCTCCTCTAACGCTGTCCACAGGTTCGTGGCTTCTGACGGGCTCGGCGTGTCTGCAGATGTGGTGTGATGTTCAGTCCAGCGCAGAGACTGAAGAGGAGGCTGAATCCGCCGGTCCTCGGCGCTCCTGGAGATGCGTATGGCAATGCAAGTCAGTGTCCGTCCGTCACATCACACTGAGCTTCTCTGAATAAACGTCAGGCAGCTCCAATAAAACCTCTCTGGTTGTTACAGGTCCGCTGCTCCGACTCACTTCATCAAGTTTTCCCCAGATGGAGAGTTTTTCGCGACCGCAGGACAGGTTTGTGTTTGTTCATATATGACATATGCACATTATTCCAAGTCATTTGACTGTTTTGTGTAGAAAACAGAACAAAATTGTAGTCACTATTCACCCAAATTCTTGCTGTCCTCCAGTCGAATATGATGCTCGTTCGAGAATCTTTGTGTTTGCAAGAAGAAAATATCATTTCAAATCCAATCACTTGTCATGGGGTCTTGATGAGTGGAGTCTTTCACGATACTGGTGGCTCTGCTGGAGCATCGTGCAAGGAAAATGTCCAGGATGGAGGGGAGAGGGGCACCGATGATCTTTGCAGCTGTGTTCACCGTCCGCTGGAGGGTCTTGCGGTCAGCAGCACTGCAGTTCCCGTACTAGACAGTGATGCAGCTGGTCAGCACACTCTCATTGGTGCCCCTGTAGAATGTGGTGAGGATTGGTGGAGGGAGACTTGTTCTTTTAAGTAGGCGCAGGAAGTGGAGCCACTGTTGAGCCTTCTTGGAGAGTGATGTAGTGTTGGTGGTCCAGGTGAGGTCTTCTGTTATGTGCACCTCCAGGAATTTAGTGCTGCTGACTCTCTCCACAGTCGAGCTGTCGATGGTCAGTGGGGGGTGGTCAACAGTGTTTCTCCTGAAGTCCATCACAACCTCCTTTGTCTTACTCACATTGAGGGACAGGTTGTTAGTGCCACACCATTCAGCCAGCTTTGCCACTTCCTCTCTGTAGTGCGTTTCATCACTGTTGCTGATGAGACCTACCACCGTTGTGTCATCCGCAAACTTGATGATGTGGTTGGAGCTGAACTTGGCAGTGCAGTCGTGGGTCAGCAGCGTGAAGAGCAGCGGGCTGAGCACACAGCCTTGTGGGGCACCTCTGCTCAGTGTGGTAGTGCTGGAGGTGTTGCGGCCGACACGGACTGACTGAGGTCTTCCGGTTAGAAAGTCCAGGATCCAATTACAGAGGGAATTGCTAAGGCCCAGCAGGTTTAGTTTATTGATGAGCTGTTGTGGGATTATTGTGTTGAATGCTGAGCTGAAGTCGATGAACAGCATTCTAACATAAGTGTCTTTGTTTTCTAAGTGGGTAAGAGCCAGGTGGAGGAAATTTCATCGTCTGTAGAGCGGTTTGGACGGTATGCAAACTGGAGCGGATCGAGTGTGTTGGGGAGGCTGGTTTTGATTTTGTGCATGACTAACCTCTCAAAGCACTTCATCATGGTTGGAGTCAGTGCTATGGGACGGTAGTCGTTTAGACAGGACACAGGTGATTTCTTTGGTACCGGTATGATTGTTGTGGATTTCAACATTATTTGAACATTATTTGTTCAGATTCATGTTCATCATTGGCTAGTTTACAGTACAGTCACTCGGAAAGTAGACCAGACATTTTAATGGAAATAATGCAAACGTTATATAGAATTCAAATGAGGGTGATGGTGGTGGACTTGAGACATGTGGGGACAACTGCTTAGCTTAGTTAGATGTTAAAGATGTCTGTTAAGACATTTAGTTTGTAAACATGATACTGTTATTTAGACTATTTTAAATCGTACTGCTCTCGAGTTTGCCATGAATATAGTTTATTTATAAAGCGCATTTAAAACAATAAAAGTGTTGAAAGAAGAAATACAGTATCAGAATGAAGTAGAATTGGCATTAAGGGTTAACTCATAAAATGTTATAAAACATGCAAATAAAAGCTCTACAGAACAACACCAAAGGTTACGGTCTCTTTGATGCTGATATACCATCAATACAGACACTGTATCTATTGCTTCTCCCATGTTTTCTCACTAACACGTGCTCAGCTACTAGAATGCACAGTTATTGAAGGATTGTGTTGTTGCAGGACGACTGTCTGGTGAAGGTGTGGTACAGCACCAGTAAATGGCAAGCAGACGTCACCAAACTCTTCACGCCGCTCGACCTGTGCTCCGGAGCCGAGATCAACTTCTCCTTCATTTACCTGGCTCACCCTCGCTCCGTCACCGGCTTTTCCTGGAGGAAGACCAGCAAATACATGCCCAGGTGAGTAGAGGCGTGACGGATGGCAGACGCCTGACGCTCCCGCTGACCGCTCTGTCCCGCTCTGTCTTGCAGAGGCACCGTGTGTAACATGCTGCTGACCTGCTGCAAGGACAGTGTGTGTCGCCTGTGGGCCGAAACACTGCTTCCCAGCGACTGCCTGCTGTCTGGACTCAGACACAATCACTGCAGCAGCGACGCCATGAAGGCAAACAACACGAAGAAGTCCTCCAGCAGCACCCGAGTGCAGAACCAGAACCCGCTGGAGGTGAGACGCTGGAGGAGTGGAGCGTCATGTGCTGTGTGTTTGACTGATGAGAGACTAGAGCGGCATCTGCTTTGTGTTCCCAGCTGAAGCTGAAGCCGTCGTGGAGAGAGGAGGTGCGGTGTTTATCTCAGCTCTCATACAGCGGTCCTCTGCCCCAGCAGCAGAACAAACACTACAGCCACCGCACAAACATCCTGCACGCTAACGCACTGTGCCACTTCCACATCGCCGCCAGCATCAACCCAGCCACAGGTAGCACACGCGTGACACAAAAAAACTCCTATGCACCATAAATACAGAGATGTAGTGTGAACTCAAACTTATCTTATCTTAGTTCTTGACAAATAAATACAACAGTGTATGGTTGATAAAAAGCTAATAATGAATTAAATATTTTTTTAAAAATACAAACAGTCAAAATAAAACACTTGAAAAAGATTAAATATTTTATTTGTTTCCATGCATGTCATGTGAGCATTAACATATATATATATATATATATATATATATACACATGTATATATGTGTGTGTGTGTGTGTGTGTGAATGTGGTGTTAAAGTATTGAAATATCAACTTAAAATCTCAGGGGAACTTCAGGGAAATGTTTTAGATTAAAGGGTGTGGCGCATCAAACAACAAGTTTTGAAATATGTTTTGGCCCTTTATCTGATGCATGCCATATCAAGTAATAAACACTGTGGCCAAATTTCATATTTTAAATTGTATATTTACCGGGTCAACCACACCTGAGATATGAAAATTTAATGAAATCTTAGCATTTGTAGTTCAAACATTCAACATTGACAAACCTTTATGACTTATTACATTCTTTGACAGTAAAACATCAAAAAATCTTTGTAATTTCATACTGTATAACAGTAAAAGTGACGTGAGGTGTAGCCAAGTATGGGAACCCCTACTCGAGGTTTGTCCTCTGCATTTAACCCATCCAAGTATACACACACACACACACACACACACTCACACACACACACACACACTCACACACTCACACTCACACACACACACACACACTCACACATGCGCACACACACGCGCACACACACTCTCGCACACTCACACACACTCACTCACACGCACACACACACTAGGGCTGCACGATAAATCGAAATGGAATCGAGATCGCGATTCGACAGAAGCTGCGATTGTCATGCGTATCTTTCAGTGAAGCACGGTTCTGTGATCAGCATCCTGCTGATTACAGAACCGACTTTACTATCAAAATGTGCATGACAATTCGATTAATCGTGCAGCCATAACGTACACACACACTCTCCCGGAGCAGTGGGTAGCCATTTTTGCAGCAGCACCCGGGAGCAATTGGGGGTTCAAGGCCTTGCTCATTTTTATGTCATTTCTTTACTTTTCTTCACTTATTTACCCACTGCCTCCACCATTTTGATGTGAATGAGTGTGCAGAGTGTGGCATCAAGCTGAGTTGTAGGTATTGAATTTGGAAGAGAGTACTTATTTCCTGCTGGAACTGAGAGTCGAACCCACGAACTTCAGATTAGAAGTCAGACTCTCAAACCATTAGACCATGTGTATATGTGTCACGTTCTTCTTCCTTAGGTTACGCCTCAGCTTCTGGTCTGCATTTGGATCCAGTAGACATTATTCATTTTTTTAAATATATTGCACATTTGCTGTCTGACTTAATTGAAATGACTTTATGCTAGGGCCAAAGTGAGAATCGTACTTTTAATTTTTTGATGCACCCTATTAAATATGTTTGACTAAACATCCAGCATGATTCATAATGAATTAACTGTTGTGCTGTTTTTTTTTTTTAACTTAAAAACAGGAAAAGAGTGTTTAAGAGTGTTTTTTTTCTTCTTTTTTTCCCCTTTTGTTTTTGTATCAATATAAGATGCTTTGTTTGCTTTTTAGGGGGACTTTCTAACATTCAGTCAAGGGTCTACAGATGAAAAATAGCATTTTGGCAAATTCTGGCACATTTACAGTAATGTTCATGAATGTGCATTGCCCCTGTAAACAAGAGTGATTTCAACTCTTCAACCCTCTGTGTGAGAGTATTGCGTGACAAACAGGATGAAACCGACTACAAATAGCTCCTCCTGCTGTCGCTCTTAAATCTCATCTCTCTGTAGTTCTTCAAACCTGCTGTCAAAATACATGCAGAAAGCAGAGTCTTTTGTCTGTTTGAAGACAGATAATGTAAATGTGATGGTGATGCTTGTGTGCAGACATCCCTCTGCTGCCCTCCATCTCGTCCATGAACGGCTCTGATGAGGAGGAACCGGGCGGCCCGTTCACCGTTCACTGGCTCAACAACAAAGAGCTGCACCTGACGCTGAGCATGGAGGTGTTTCTACAGCAGCTGAGGAGCAGCGGCGAACAGAACGGACCCACAGAGCGCTACGGTACAGTGTGCATCATCTGAGCCTTATATCAGAGGACAGGACTGGTTTACGTTATGTGAGAGTGACACTAATGTGAGCATACGGAGCAGAATGTGAACCAGTCAAGTCAAAATGAGGCAGAACCATTTATTAAAGGGACAGTTCACCCAGAAATGAAAATGTGCTGTTAATTTACTCACCCTCGGGCCATCCAAGACATAGGTCACTTTTTTCTTCAGTAGAACAGTAAAATAGATTTTTAGCTAAAACTGTGATCCTTGGTGATTAATAAAAAGCAAGTCAGTCTTTGAGAAGAAACATTTTAAAAAAGCATATAAAGCATACAGAATTAATCCCCGTGGCTCCTGATGATATATTGAGGTCTTGTGAAGCGAAACAATCAGTCTGTGCAAGAAACTGAACATTATTTTAAGACGGTTTGTTTCAATGAACCAGTTCAAATAAATGATTCACTAGTTTGTTTATGTAATCACGCAGTGACGTCACGTATATGCAATTATATGATTAAATCACCCAATAATGATGTGAAGTGCAGATGTTTTCATGTCTAAAGCATATAAACTTGTCTTCATCAGCTCACCTTTTTACATAAACAGTGTTCAGTTCACGCATGCGCAGATCAGCGGCTCATCGGTGTTCGGTCCGAGTCGAACTGTTTCCTCAGTTCAGTGACTGTTGGAGGAATCAGTTCGTTCATCACAGGATCAGATTCGCCGGTGTTTCGGCTCTTTTCCAGTCGACTGTCAGGCGTCTCAAAGTGAGTTTTGTAGAATTGAGTAACTTGTAGATCTGTGCTGCTCGAGCCTGAACTGATTCAGACGATTCAGTCCGATTCGATGAACTAGTTCAACTAGTTCACTAAAAAGAACCAAAAGAACCGGTTCAAAAGAATGATTCGTTCGTGAACCGGACCTTTGCCTGAGGCTCTGGATTACAGGTAATAATGCTGTAAATAATGTTTATTGCACAGACTAATCGTTTCGCTTCATAAGAGCTCAATATATCGTCAGGAGCCACAGGGATTCATTCTGTGTTGTCTGTTATATGCGTTTCTGACTCTCAAAGTGCTGGTAGCCGTCGACTTGCATTTTATGAATCACCAATGAGCACAGTTTCAGATAAAGATCTTCTTTCCTGCTCTACTGAAGAAATAAAAGCCACTACATTTTGGATAATCTGAGGATGAGTAAATTAGCAGAACATTTTCTCATTTTTGGGTGAACTATCACTTTAAGTACGAAAGTGAAAGTGACATGTGGCCAAGTTCTCGGAACTCCCATTCTTGGAATTTGTGCCCTGCATTTTTCCCATCCAAGTGCACACACACACACACACACACTCATACTTGCATTGGTGGTTTACGGGGACTCTCTATAGGCGTAATGGTTTTTATACTGTACAAACTGTATTTTCTATCGTCCTACACCAACCCTACCCCTAAACCTACCCGTACAGAAAACTACTGGCAATTTTTGAATTTCATAAAACACCATTTTTATGTAAGCCTTTTGTGCATACGGGGACACAGGAAGTGTCCTCATAAACCATATATACCAGCACACACACACTCACTCTCACACACACACGCACGCTCACACACACACACACACACACACACACACACACACTTGTGAGTAAAAAAAGGCCATCTGTGTGTTTGCAGTTTTATTGGTGGTACTTGTACACTGATAGGCCTGTCCGAGCAGCATGTGCAGATTCACATGAGTCACATGAAGCTGAAATCTCTCTGTTCTGAGCAGATGCTGATGAGGAGGGGAGCGGCGCTGATGCTGCGGCTCTGAGCTCCGTCTCTCTCCCTGCGGCGGCTGTGGATCATCAGGTGGATGTGCTGCTGAGTGACTGGAACAGAGCAGCAGACATGCTGTTCAGCATCCACCCGATGGACGGCTCGCTGCTGGTGTGGCTAGTCGACTGGCTGGACGAATACCAGCCGGGCATGTTCCGACAGGCGCAGGTACAAACAACACATCCTGAGAGCGGTTCTTCAGATTATGCCTCGAAACAACTCAAAACACACTGTAACCACATAGCTACAACCTAGCAACCACCCAGTTCTCCTTAGCAACCACATAGCAACACCCTGGTAACCACCCAGAACACACTAGTTTTGAATGAGTGATCACCGCTCATGTTTTAAACGATAGTGTAATGATTGTTGTTATTTTATCATCATTGTGTTGACAAAGGCTAGGGGTGTCCAGCATTTTTTGTCTAGGATAATATCGTAGTTGTTGTTTTAACGATGTGTGAGCTGACACTGAGTGTCACTCATTTTGCAAAAAACAAACAAAACACATCTTGAGAATCCAAAAACATTGTGATGAAGCCTATTAGAATGAACTGATAATTCACATTCTGAAAGCAAAAATATCCCTGTATGGCAACGTGGCGAGTAATTAATCTAATTAATCACATATTAATCGTACATCAAATTTGGCTGAGAAATTACCCTCAAAAGATAATTTAAAGTCATTATTGTGTTAAATGAGAAAAGCATCAAATATTCTTTACAAAAAGTAGCTTTAGAAAGAAATTTTTCTTTTAATTTTTCTTTTTTTTTTGCGTGAACTATCCTTTTAGTTTTTTATTAATGTCTTTTTTTATTTTCATATTTTTTGTTAATATGGAAATATGAAATAATTTTTTAATGAAGTTATACTCTATATATTCTTATACTTTTAGATACAATATTGTCTTTTTTTCTGTTTTGCCAATGAAAATAGTTCCAAACAAAGATGGAGCAGAACATTTGTGCATCTCAGAGCAACACTGCAGTGTTTCATTCCTGAATGAATCTGTTTTTAAATGAATCTTTTGAGTCAATGATTCAGTGACTCATTCATAAAGACAGTAGCTGTGTTCGGAATGGCACACTAGCTTACTGCTTACTGCCGAGTACACAGTGCATACTGCCTACTGTTTTTTTAAGAATAGTGTGTGAAACCGTATACAATAAGCAACAAATAATGTTTCAGAGTACTGAACATTAATTCACAGTACTGAATTCTCTGATGAGTTCATTCTCTGTTTCCAGGTTTCCTTCGTGTCCAGGATTCCCGTGGCCTTCCCCACCGGCGACGCCATCTCGCTCAGCCGCAGCGTGGTCATGTATGCCTGCAACAGAAACGTGGACCTGGCCATGCAGCACGGCCGTCACCGTACCGCAGGCCTGCCTCACTCGTCCTCCTCCGCTCTGATCGGACTGAGCCAGAGCAAACCCTCCTCCAGCAGCCTGCGTCTCAGCATCTTCACCCCCAGTGTCCTGATGATCTCCAAACACGCCGACGGCTCGCTCAACCAGTGGGCCGTCAGCTTCGCCGAGGACTTGGCCTTCTCCACGGTGCTCAGCGTGTCTCATAAATCACGATACTGCGGCCACCGCTTCCACCTCAACGATCTGGCCTGCCACTCTCTGCTGCCGCTGCTGCTCACTACCTCGCACCACAACGCCCTTAGGACACCCGACGGGGACGCCGCTCTGACCCGCCCCGCTGCTGCCCAGTCCCACAGGAGCAGGGTGTCTTCTGGCGGCGTCGCCCAGGATCCCAACGCGATCTACAGCGAGCTGATCCTGTGGCGGGTGGATCCGGTGGGTCCGCTGTCGTTTTCGGGGGGCGTGTCGGAGCTGGCCAGGATCAACTCGCTGCACGCGTCCGCCTTCTCTAACGTGGCCTGGCTGCCCACGCTCATCCCCAGCAACTGCCTCGGTGAGGACAGCTTCCTTAGATTCTAGATTCCATTTCACCTTAGCAACCGCATCCCTCGCCCCTAGCGACTGCCTCGATGAGGACAGCTTCCTTAGATTGTAGATTCCATTTCACCTTAGCAACCGCATCCCTCGCCCCTAGCGACTGCCTCAATGAGGACATCTCTCTTAGATTCTGACATAAAAGCAAAATTCACTGTGGAAACCTTCTAGAGTGTAGAGTAGTTCAGCCTGACAGTCTTACATTAAAAACAGAAAGCAAGAGTACAGTACAGGAGAAAGCACTCTTGTGTGCAGATGATTTGTGATATTTTCAGAGATTTTTAATGAGTGAGCGGGAAACATTTACAAGCATCCCTATTTGAATGGAGTCTCTGCTGCATAGAATATTCATACATATGTGTTCAGCTCATGAATATTTAATGCGTGTCTTTAAAACTTTAACTGACAATCCCTCGTGTGTGAAGCCTGTCTATTTCTCAGCTTGCGGCTGATTGGATGTTACTTTTGATCTATTCATATTTCATTTCCTTCCCAAAGGTGTGTATGGAAACTCACCCAGTGCCTGCTTCATCGCTAGTGACGGACACTCACTCCGACTCTATCAGGCCATCATCGAGGCCAGAAAACTGCTGAGTGAACTCTCCAACCCCGACATCTCCGTAAGAATGGACCTGGCTGTTATTTCAGTATATCAAATAGTAGAGATCTGTCATGTGTTTTTCTCCAGAAATATGTTGGAGAGGTGTTTAACATCATCAGCCAGCAGTCGACGGCCAGACCAGGCTGCATCATTGAGCTTGATGCCATCACAGACTTTGTACGTATAAGATCCACTACAGATGCATAATGTGACCCAAAATAATGAGCTGATCTAACACAAGAGCATCATGTCATTTCCCAGAGTGCTCAGCGCTCACGTCTCTCTCTCTGTTTGTT